TATACACAGGGTGCTCTTGATTGCTTCCAACTCAACTGCCTTTAGTCTTTTTTATGTGCTAAAATATTTTAGTTATTATTTATGGATGGTTGTGAGCCCCCATGTGGTTGCTGGGAATTGAACTCAGGACCTCTGGAAGAACAGCCAGTGCTCTTAACCTCTGAGCCATCTCTCCAGCCTTTAGTTATTATTTATAATATGCTGTTGACCATTCTTCATAGGATGTTAAAGCTTAATGAAATTGTGTGTTGACATTTTACACAATCTCCTACTTGTCCCCCAAATCAAATTGCTGAATGACACAATACCACACTGAAACAGTACTTAGGGACTAGTACTCTGTAATTGAAATAAATTGTATGTTTTTGTTTATTTTAAAATGTAAAAACAAAATGCTGTTAGGGAATAGTAAGAAGGCTAAATATAATATAGTGAAATACTATGGTACTAATGATGCATGAACCTTTTACTACAAAAGATGCTTAAAATCAAATTTTGTATTAGTAATAAATAGTGACAAAAGTGTTTAGTGATAGAAAATTGTGTTATTGCAGAATATGTATTGCATAGTGCTATAAAGAATCTTAAATTTTATTATCTTTTGCAATTATCTAATGTAAATTTACAACTGCCAAAGTAATTAACAAACATGTATGCAGGCTCATAGGACATTTCATACTTGTTGATCCATTTTTCCTCATTGCCCTGCTAGAATTAATGATAAATGTCCATTCTGTTCTTTGAAATACAGTTAGAAAATCTGTTTAGGTAAAATGATGACTGCTATAAATAAAGTATGTTTAAAAGTTCAAAAACAAAACAAAATTGAACAGCTTCACTAAAGTTCTACTCTGCACATACAAAGCTTCTACCTTTTGTTGAGTATTGTTTGTTCCTATACAATACTGTGGGTGGGGAGCTTAAGATCAAAATTATCCACATGCCATTTCTATATGTGGCTGACAGATCACATCATGATATATGGAGGTGTATAAACTTTCTCTACTATTGGTATGATAAGAACTTACCCCTAAACTGAATAACTTAAAACAACATATATTTATAACCCACAATTTTGTGAATCAGAACTCTGGCAGTGTATCATTCAGCTCAGTTCTTTGTACACAGTTTCATCAGGCTGTTAGCTGACCTGGGCTAGCCTTCACTCTTTCCTGCTTTTCTTCTCCCTTCCAACGTCCCTTTTATTTTATTTTATTATTTTATCTTCTTGTTTTTGTAATTTTGGAAGCTTTCGGGAAGAAATGCCTCCAGACTCACTAAGTTCTTTGGTGATTCGTAAATTATTCACCTCTCTGCTCTCAGCTAGGGTCAGTGTTTAATCCTAAAGCCTGCTTCCATATCTTCTTGTGTTTCCCATAGGACCCTTCACTAGCACTGTACTGATTCTCCTTCAGGATTCAGATCCTTCCGTTTTCTCTCAAAGCACATCTGCATCCCTAGCTGGAGCGTCTTCCCACGTGAAGGTTGAGTTCCTCTTTCATCTGCACTGTCCTCTGTGGGGTCACCATATCTCCTACACTGTGTTTTCAAATAGCCCCTTTCTCTACTTCATGCAGGAAAATTTCCATCTTTGTATACACACATACACACACACACACACACACACACACACACACACACACACACACAAATAAGCACACTTAACATTTTAGAAAGGAAAAATGGAGGCCTTATTCTGGTCTGTAATTTAAATATAACTTTGAAATTGAATCAGAAACTAAGATAAAAGATTGTGTATAGCTGTGTAGAAGTTCAAACTGTGTAAACTATCTCTTGGTTTAGCTTTATACATCATAATTCATCCTGGTTATAGATTATAAATCCAAAGCTTCATCTTACCAAAACAAAACCAAAAATTTATTTTTCGCCTTTTATTTGACTTTTAATTTCTAGTTTCATAAACTTTCTAGTTTACCAACTTTGTTAGCATGCTGTTGTCATTAAGCATTTTCAGCTGTGGAAACCATGTCTTAATTTCCTAAGATCATATTTTACCACCATTTAGTATAGATTCCAAATACAATTAACCTAATCATGTATAACATGGCTGGTTTTACATGGCACTTTTTATGTCCCTCCCATGGCTTGGAAGAAATTTCAAAAATCAAGAAAGTCATATCTATTCATCAAATTGAAATTACCATATTTGAATATTTCTAGAAATATAGGTGAGAAAAGTATATGAATCATTCAATAGAAATTCTACTAAAAATGTATGTTAAGTGGCTCCATGATGTGAAATAATTTTTCACAAATATTTCCCAGTTAATATTTTTGCTTACTGCTTATTAGCTTCACATCAGTTCCAATCGACTTATATATAGATTTCATTTTAATAAATATGGACGTTATAAATTAATGCTATAGCATATAATTGGTTGTTAAATGTTATGTAATTTAGATGTTAGATTTCATTTTCAGAAATGAACCATGGGTCATAATTAACTGAATATTTGGTGTGAGTGGAGTCTTAGTGATAAACTGCTACAGCGTGATTCATAAAGTAGATCAGATATGACAAGGTAACCATGGAGAGCATTATGTTTTAGCATCAGCACATCAAGGCCACTCTCTGAGCTAACTTCCTTTGTAAACTGACGTTCTTGGAATCTGACAAGTTTAGAGGTATCTGTGTTTATAGATGGTATGCTTCTATTCTAAATAATAAAATTCAAGAAAAAATATCATCTTTTCTTTTTAACCAAAACCTTGTATTCGAAGGGCCTCTCTATCCTACAGCTCACTAGTCTCAAGGGTCAGTTGGTTATACTCCTGTCTTTGCCATCTAAAATGTGTGCCTGGATACACTATCAACAAGAGTTTAAAAATCAAATAGATGCCCCCAAAGAGCAGTGAATCCCTGGTGGACATGGCTTCTCCTATGCGAAGAGGAGAAATGTGTTGTGGCATAGTGCACCATTAGATCTATAGGATGAATTTCAAAATATTACAGATTTCAAATGGTTTTTGGCACCCTTTTCCCCCAAATCCTCAATTATCATAATTATATCCATGAAAGTTCTTTTACAGTTTCAAATAGTGAGCTTAATTTTAGTGTAACTTTCAAATATCAAGTCTTGTTTTACATTAGAGTTTGCTCTATGCAGCAGAAACTCAGTGAGGTGTATTTATAGCCCACATTTTCTCCATAGCTCAGAAACTCCAAGGCTTCCTGTCTCATGTTTTGAGACAGCAACTGAGCAGAGCTTGAACAGTTACTGAAAACTACAGTATGTGATGTGTGTTATTTGACAGCGGCCTGAAGACTTAAATGTGTTCATCTCTGTCACCTATTTCTTCTCGAGCGGTTTTCACAGTGCACACCTAAATTATGTGCCTTAAGCAGGGAGCAGCAGGCCTGTGGTGCATGCCATTGTGCTGCCCTTTGCAGTATTTCCATCAGGGCTGTGTTCTAGACTTTGGAGTAAATGAGAGTCACAGAAACTGTTCAATACAATGAATGTCACCTTATCTTTGGTTGGAGTTTACACTTCCCAAGGCTATGGAGACCCCTCACATATCTCAGGCTGTGAGCTGGGCTAATCATGGTCTTCATGATTTCAGAGATGGGATTGCACAGCTGTTGTGAAGGAATAAAAGTTGCTGAAAATGATTTTGTACTGCAAATCAGCTTCACTGCTATTGTACTAGATAAGCATTTACCGGTAAACACAGTACACTGAGAACGTCACCTGAATTCCCTTCAAGAGAAAGTCTTGATCTGTTTAGTTATTTTGTTGTTGGTAGTGTGGGAGGAAAGGGCTGTCTTGAATCTTCCCTGCCCTTCCTTCCTTGCCAAGCAAGGAAGATGTGAAAAATGTGTTTTCCAGACATTGATGCAAGAAAGTATTAAGAAGTAGAAGAAACAAAATAAAGCCAAAGGGATAAACATCAGAAGTTTGCTTAAATGGCTTTGGTCCCATATAATTGCTTTTCTGTCAGCAGGATTATTAACAATTTTGGACATCTGAAAATTAAATTAACAGCCTGAAAATATTTTACAGAATGAGATAGAGCATGATACATGAAACATAATGACCCCACTGAAACTCAGCCAAGCCGGCTCAGCTACTCACTGAGGCTGAGTAGACCACTAGTTAATCATCACCAAGCAAATTGGACAGAGCAAATTAGCTTACTGAATTCCAAAGCCTTAGCTACAAGAAAGAGGATATGCCACTAATTATAATGAAGGAACTCTCCGCATACTATTATCAGCATAGAAAGAGAAAGCAAGACTTTAGCTTTGAACTGCCCCGACCAAAGCGCTTGGAGCCTGGGTTACTGTGTGCATTCCATATGCCAGAGTGCAAAGCCGAGGACATGCTATGCCCAGCTTGGCATGGGAGAGGCACAAGCATTTTCTAGCATCTTCTCCTAATGAAGTGTAAAACTTTTCATCAAAGTTAATTGGTATTCTTTGAGAAATACATACACAGGGACAGAGAGAGCCGTATATGCAGACACACACACACACACACACACACACACACACACACACACGAAAGGACATTTTAAAGTATGTACCATTTAAGTGAAAATTGTTAACCTATTTCGTGAACTTTTTTCTCCACAGTATTTAGATTTTTATTTCTCTTGAAAAGTGTATTTCTGTTCTATGTAAAATAAATATTTGGACTCAGTTTATCACTGGGGATTAATCAGAAATCATATTTTCTAGCCTTAATTAGTATTCGTTTGCTTAATTGTCATTCTCAGCCCCATCATTTCCATTTTTCACTAACTTGAACAATGCTATCTTCTGCTGTTTGCACTTTAATTTAAATTTCTATTAAGGTTTATGAACAGTAATAAGGTCCTGTTTGAATATTCATTAGCTTTTGAATTGTGAGCTATGAAAAGGTGCTTTCTTTTACCTTAATGAAACTGGCACAGCATGGGACTGATCAGTTGTGACATTTGATTGGAGGCACCCAGTGAATTTTCTCATTGTTTATTGACACATCTTGTCCAAACAGCTCCCTCGCAAGTGAGTGGGGTAATGAAGGAGCGAGTGCTGCAGCGGAGTGTGGAGCTTTCCTGGCAGGAACCGGAACATCCCAATGGAGTCATCACGGAATATGAAATCAAGTACTACGAGAAAGTAAGTGTGAGAGAACTGTGGTGTGAACAGTGCCGTGCCTGATGCCATCCATCCGCGCAGGAAGCTAGTGCTGGTCATTACACTACTGTTTGGGGCTACTTCAAAATTCATACTTAGGATTCGCTGTGTTTAATAACCATCTTCACCCTCTCTCGTTCACGATTACAATCAATATCTCTGTTTATTAGCTTTCTGTGTCATACAAGTGAGAATGTTTCTAGTATATTTCTTCAGTTATTTATATAATAATTAGGTATAGGGTGCTTTAATGGCACAGAAACTAATCAATCCAATATATTTTGAAAAGTATTCCTATCAGTGTATCCATGTGTGTATTGACACTTTAATTTAGGGTTTTCATAGGATCCATGTCTTCAAATACTGTTATCATACATAGCTAATGATATTGTGCAAAACATGCTTATAATGTCTTCCAGCACTAGAATTAAGAAGATGTTATTTCATTCTTTTAGATTCTTTCTGAAAGTTATAGCATACGTATGAGATTATTACATCTCATGCCTCTCCTTCTATAGAAATTACTGTCTAAAACTCATGTTCTGCTCCTGATCTCTCCTTAGAATGAATAAGTATTAATAAGAAATGTCTCTCTATATGAATATATTCATTAGTGGCTTATTTAGAAAGGAAATGAAATATAAAGCCTATTTATAAATGGTTCTCTGAGTTCCACCAAACGGAAAGACATCACTCAAAATTTAAAACACAGAACCTACCATTACTCAGTATTATGACTCTGACTGTAATAAATGATACTTTATCAATTTAACTGAGTTAGGTGAGTGCTCTAATACATAGAACTACTTCACTCTTTAGACATGATTGTGAAATAAAGTCCTAAGATTTTGGCAAAATTTGGGATTGAGTTGACTTCATTGAAATGTATACAATTTATTGGCAATACCCCTCCACCCCCAGTGAGGAAAAACAGACAGCTTAAAATAAGAGAAGTGTTAATGTACACATTTGAAATACTTTGGCTTACTATTTTCATTCAAATTTACTTTCTTCTTGGCCTCAGCTGCATTTTTATGCCTCAGCTTTGTACCAAAAAATACATTTCTTTTCCCATCAAATGTGCTTAAAGGGGATCATTGTTTTAACGCTGCTTTTGTAATATCTGTTTCGCTGTAATCCCTAATAGTTATGGTCCTTCTAGAAATTGGCAGATTTTAAAGTCAATAAAGCACATTTTACAGTACAAGGTGGCAGAGTTTATCACAGGGAATCTGCAATCTTTTGCAAATCTGTACTCGGAAATAAGTGCCATTCAAATTGCTGGGCTTTATTTGCATGACAGAGACAGAATGTATTTACAGCAAGTAATGTGTAAAGTAGGCAGTTATTGGGATGTAGTACCGGAGCAGTGTGAAGGCACAGGATCTGTGTTTGTTGCTCGCCGACTGTGAGTTCTTTCCAGTTCTGCTCAGACTATACTTCAACTGTCTATGATTGTATAGATAATACCCATGATCATTTTTATGAATGACTATGCTGATGGCTCTCACGAATCAACTCCATAAAGTGAGTCCAAGTGTTCATTTCCACTTTTAGGAGTATCAGTCAGCGTAAAGGCAAATAATTGAGGTAATATTTTCAGATTTCAGTAAATAATTTTAACACTGATACTTACAAATGGAATAAAAAACTACCCAAAAATGTATAGTTAATCAAGTATACCTTTTTCAACATGTCTTCATAAATGGCTTAAGAAAGTCACATCAATGAATACTTAGGTGTTATGCTTTAACATATTGTTTTGAAGAATTTTACATGCTTGAAGTTTCATATTTAATTAATTCTTAAGCTTATTCCACATATATGTAAAATTTCATATATATACATACATATTATAATATGCTTAACAATTAGGACATTTTACAAAATAGAAAAATATAACCTATTGCTTTAATGAACTTTGCAAGAATTGGTATTTACATTTGAAAAGTGAGTAAATAAAGTTAAATTTAAAATAATGTCAAACCACAACCATAATTCCTGTATTTTACTCTCAAACTGAAAGCTGTGATTAGAAATTCTACTAAGTACTATTCTGTGGATGTAGTTTTCTTCCTTTTTTATTGAGAGTAAATGACATGTCACTGTTGTAATGTTTAGCTGAATTTCTTGGTTTAGTAGCATGTTTGATTTTTGACACGTGAATTTTCTTTGATAAATATCATTCAGAAAAGAGTTTGAAGAACCAGGAAGCCATATGAAGTCTTCTACTAAAAGAGACATTGACCGGATGTACTTGTAGAAATGTAGCCAAAAAGTGATAACCACTGTGTCCTGTTCCAACACACCAGAAGCCCAAACACTGGGATCATTTTAATGAAATTATTTCTCTTTGAAATTTATACAACAAAGGCATGTTTTTCATTGCATTTTGTGTTATCTTAGAAACACTCAGTGTTACAGTGTTCCAGAAGGTATAGTGTAAGCTCAATTAAACAAAAGCAATGCGACAAATCAAAATCAATGACCAGAATCAACTGTCAAGTCAATTTCCCCTGTAAATGTCATTGCAGGATCAAAGAGAAAGGACCTACTCAACACTGAAAACCAAGTCCACCTCAGCCTCCATTAACAATCTGAAGCCGGGAACAGTGTATGTTTTCCAGATCCGGGCTTTCACTGCTGCAGGTTATGGAAATTACAGCCCCAGACTTGACGTTGCCACTCTAGAGGAAGCTACAGGTAAAATGTTTGAAGGTAATTACCATCTTTGGTTCAGATTCTTCACTTTATAACTGTCACTTGCTTTTGTTTCTTGTTCTATTTCATTTTTGTATTGAGGGTAGTGATTTTGCATCAAAAATAATTTTTATATCTACAAATGAATATGCATGAACATAAGTGTACCATTAGAAAGGTCATCCAGGAAAATAATTAAATATTCTCTTTATTCAATGATATCTAAACTTTATGATATCAGTTAGTCTTTTAAATGTAAATATTATTATTTTTACATATATTTAAATGTAAATGTATTTATTTACTAAAATTGAAATTGGAAAGTCATGTAGGAGTGATTCAGTTTAATGTTGACACAAGGAGTTTTTGTAGACCTTGGAGTGTTCTAACTTGAGTTATGTGCATCAAATAGCTTCCTTTCCAGTCACACTGGGTAGGTAATAGTATGCTATTCATGATTTTGAGTTAATAGAAACTCTATGCTTTTAACAATGGTCTCAAACACTGAGGATTCAGAAAGATCTCAAAGCTTGTGTTTCTTTTATTTGGACTTTTATTTTTTCAATTTTGTTATGAATTATACTAGAAAATATTAATATTATGAGTTATACTAGAGAATATTAAGTACATATGAAATATAAATGAATTCCTGGAACCTACCACTCGACCTGAAAATAGAATCTAAGTTTTAAATCCTTTAACAAATGTTTATATTTCACAATGTTAATTTGTAGTTAAAATATATGACTACATTGCATGTAACATATAAGCAGTTACATCGTGAGGTCTGTGTTTCCCTCAGACTGTGCTCAGAGCACTATGAGTTCTCCTGCTGCTCATCCTTCAGCTGGCTTAAGCCTCAAATGTATTTCCACATTTGAGAGGTTCTGATTCCTCCTGATGTTACTGCTTAGACACAAAATTTACCCAGTGGCTCTTTCCTGTTCTGCATTAGCATTCTAGTGTTCCTATAAAATTTTTAAATAAGTGAATAAAAATGCACGATATCACTTTCTTTCTTCACTTCTGAAAAAGCTTTTAAGGTAATGAAGCTTTTATCAAAATTATTTTGACTTCAGAAAAGCATTATAGTTCTTTTAAATAGTAGAATACATTGATAAGTATTCTTTGTGTTAACCAAGGCTTGGTAAATTTGTTAGCAAAAATCTCCTTTCAAAATATTGTTATGTTTTAAAATGAACAACAGAAATATATATGAAATTAATATGAAGTATCAATCATTTGCATAGAATTTTACATGTATAAGTATCAGTTGAAAAATGTTGCCACGCTGGGCGGTGGTAGAGCACGCCTTTAATCCCAGCACTCGCGAGGCAGAGGCAGGCAGATCTCTGTGAGTTCAAGGCCAGCCTGGACTACAGAGTGAGTTCCAGGAAAGGTGCAAAGCTATACAGAGAAACCCTGTCTTGAAAAACCAAGAAAAGAAGAAAAAAGAAAAAAAAGAAAAATGTTGCCACAATGTGGAATGATGGGATGAATGCCCTTTATTTTCATTAGCATCATTAATTATGGAATATATAAGATCGAAAATAAGAATATCTATGTTTAACAGCTCCCAAAAAGCTATTAAAGCTGTTGAAGTAGCTATTTCAATACTGAAACAAAAAAGTGGTTTAGTATTGAGGTGTATCATCAAGGTTACCAACTGGAGACATTTTCCTAACACCAGCTTATACTCTTTAATGCATTGAGACACTTCAAGTTTTGTTATTTCCTCTTTAGTTTTGAAAACTTTGGAAATGAATCTTTATCCCTTCCTGACATTGTAAATTGTGACAAACTCTTTATTTGTTGAATTTGAATGTTTATAAATATTTTTACTGTTTCAAAAGGAAGTAGCTAAGACTTCAAAATCAAAGTGTCAGATCCTGGGTGATCACATAAAATTAATGTCAAAATGGTATTTTGTATTAGAAACCATATGGTAATTTTTATTATTAAGATACATCTTCCATTAAGATGTAAAATTAATAAAGGAATCATTCATATATTTTTTTGAATTTCTTTCAGCCTTTGACTTACCAGTGTTTACTGTAGTGCTTGATGCATAGAAATCATTTAATGAATAAGAAATGACTAGATCACACCAACATGGGCTAGGTTATCAGGATAAATGAATAAGAAATGACTAGGTCACACCAACACAGGCTAGGTTATCAGGATAAATGAATAAAAAATTACTAGATCTCACCAACCCGGGCTAGGTTATCAGGATAAATCAGTACTCCATGACAGGTGTTAGGAATCTCACCTTGTGATAGCCATGTGTGATTCTGGATGCACTCCTCTTTCCTAAGTGCTGGGATAGTAGTATCCAAATTAAATTTATACACACCAAGTATTATGGATAGTGCATAGTTTGAAAAGTTTCTAAAAGTCTTATTATTTAGCCAAACTATTCTTAACAATGGTATCTAAGAAATATTTTTTACTCTTAAGAATATTGAGGAACCCTCAAAGGTTGTGTTTATGTTAAAACACAGCATACTAGTCTCACCTCATTTAGCCATTAGTGTGATGTCATTAGGTCATGGAGCTTCTGGAAAACATGATTGCATTTATAAGCAAATGAAAGTGTAAAGATAGAACAATATGTTTATAATATGAAAAAATAATATTGGTCTTCCAGATTCCCTGGAAATCTCTTGAGGATTCTCTAGAATGCCTAGACTAGTCCCTTTGAGATCCGCTGACTCAGCCTGTATGCTGCTCTAAGAATTAGATGCACATAGAGATGTATGAGGCATTCTAAGTGTCCTCAGTCTAAGCTTAGTGAAAAAGTGTGCCAAGTTCATGAATTCTGGCCATATGGCTAACTATGGCAGAATTCATGATGCAGTATTACCACCCAAGAAATGGTGATGTACTGAACTCAGAAGTGAGACAGATGGGAAGATTCTCTCTGGAAGAGGTCACTAAGGCATTGTTCAAACACAAATTAACATACTATCACATATCACAAGCATTTCCTATTCACCTTATGCTTGGTCAACCTATTGGTTTTGCAGTTTTTAAAAGGTGGTCTTCAGATTATAGCCTCCAAAGTTACTTCTGAAATGTTCTCCCTTTGACATAGATGAAAATATTGATAATGTAGGTCAACTATTGTAAGGTTAAAGTTCAACGTTAAGCAACCACGTGCAAATAAACATTCATGAATGCTGATTCACGTTTCAGCTGAGCTCAGTGTTTCCACTGGAGCATTTGCCTCTGAAGCTCCAGGAAGAACTGAGCCTTAGACAAGCAGAGAATTGACCCCTGGGGACCGCTGAATGCAAAGCATTTCTACACTTGAGTGTATAATTGTTTCCTTTCTCATGAGAATTACTCCGTTCTGTATCTTCTCTGTATATGTAAAAGGACAGATAGAAACAAAAATAAATAAATAAATAATAAGGAAAACAGCAAAAACTCATGTTTTCTTAGTCAGATGTCTATTAGGCTGTAACTCAGAATGTAACACGTCAAGGTTGTTTGCCTTAAGAAAAATCTTTCCTGTGTTTAGTTCTCTCTAGAGGCAGATCACCAGGTGACAAATTAAGGAGAGTGTGTAATGCAAGTGTTCAGGAACTACCTGGCTAGATATCTTCATGCTTTTCCTGTATAATATAGGAGATATCTCTTTAGTAAGAGTAAATTGTCAAAGGGAGACAACATGGGTAAATTTGACAATGTCCAGTTAGGGTTAGGGGTGGGTACTGCTGGCTGAGATAAGGCAGTTCTACTTAGGTCAAATTTTCTACTCTAGAGAACCAGTCCCTTGCCACCAACAAGAAGTGGTAATATTTTCCATCATGCCTGGTATTAAAGATAATAGTTGTTGATTGTGTTAGAAGTAGCTAAACTATATTCATTTAACTTTATGTGTTATACATTTGTTAACTGGTTAATTTTTAGGTGTACATTTTCATTATATATCACATGTAGTGATTGTATCTCTCTATCTATGCTGATAATGAAAATATCCTATAGAGAGGATATAACAACTGTTACAGAGCTGGAAGTGATGAACTCATGTTTCTTGAAGCAACTTAAATCACAAGATGCTTTAAGGGGCATGATTCATGAACTTATCCATGTAGATACTGTAAATAAGTCCAACTGATCTTTCATTAATAATCTTAGAGGAATTATTACTATGTAAAAGGGAGACTACAATTCAATACTTGTAAGACATTTTTAAACTAGTCAGAAAAGTTTGCTTTTCATAAATATAGCATCTCCTGTCTAATCTTGCCACTTCCTTAAAATGCCCAAATAAATATTTGTTTAAATGTATGCTGTCAATTAAAATGAATTTATTTGAAATTCGAAGTAAAGTAAATGATCTGAATTGTTTCATGTTCAGCCTCTAATGTTCCTCCTAGCAGTGAGTGGTTCTGAGCCCCTGTCCTCTGTTTGTAGCGACAGCAGTCTCCAGTGAACAGAATCCTGTTATCATAATTGCTGTGGTGGCTGTAGCAGGGACCATCATCTTGGTGTTCATGGTGTTCGGCTTCATCATTGGAAGAAGGTAGAGCATAGAGTTCTAGGAGTTTTGTTTGTTTGTGTGGTTGGTTGATTGGTTTTTCAAGACAGGGTATTACTCTGTAGCCTTGGGGGTCCTGAAACTCACTCTGTAGACCAGGCTAGCCAGCCTTGAATTCAGAGATCTACCTGCCTCTACCTTCCAAGTACTGGCATTAAAGGCTTTTTGTCACCACGGCCTGGCTTATGTTCTTCAAGTATTTGACATAAAATATGTTGATTTCCCAAAAGTGCCAACCAATTATATACTCACTCTATTAGAATGTTATTAGTAAATATGAGCACTTTTTTCTGATATATAATATTAATCAGTGCATTGTTTTTGTTCTCCCCAAATCAAAACACACTATGAATTTGATCATGGCCTTCAGCTTAAGGTGAATGAGTGCTATAATTAAGAATAGGTGAATGTGAATTGATTACCTTCAGTTACTTTCCATAATAAATGCAGAAGAACCGAAGAGGTTAACTCTTTTAGTTGTTTTTTTTTTTTTCAACGTTTGTAAAAACCATTTAAGATTTGTGGGCTTTTCCACAAATACTTATTGATAGGCAAATACTTATTGATAAATTTAACAAAACAAAACTTTTCCTATCTTCTGGTCTTTCACAGACTCCATTCACTGTGCATATTTTGATCACATGCATTGACACATTATCACCCGGTGGTTCATAACTGTGGGCAAAATATATTTGTGTTTGTTTATACCTCTAGCTAGCATGTGGCTACATAGCATTGCTCCTGATGCTGCATGCTAATCCATGAAGCAGGATCATCCAGTAAACTTGCCACAAATTTGCTTTTTTCCCCAAAGGCACTGTGGTTATAGCAAGGCTGACCAAGAAGGAGATGAAGAACTCTACTTTCATTGTAAGTGTTTGGCTTTTCTTTCTATCAGTATACCCCAATTTGAGCAGAAATCTGATTGTCTCTATTGGCATGAGTGAATCCCTAATGCATCATGCTTGAGATTCTGTAATGAGCTCAAAAGTGTAAATCTATGCAGAAATGTTGCATTGACGTTCAGAACATTGAGCCACTTTCACGTCACAGTTTTTGCCTTTAACAAACCCTGCACAGATGTTTTCATCACTCCAGTGGTGAACCATTAAATGCAGCACATCCCGTTTTCTAGTGAGGAGTGTCATTTTAAGGCAAGGTGGACCTTTTCTCCCTCCCAGTGAGTGATGCTCCCTAGAATTACAGAGCTCAGGAGACTAATTACCACTGAGAGATACTTCCTAGGAAATAAATAGTATAATGCCAGTCTCCAATCTTCTGATGCTTTCCTAGGAATGTGAGCTACTTGGTTCTTAAAAGCTCATATTAGAAATCAATTCTGAAGGAGGCCTATCAATCCAAATAAAATAGGAAGGAAAAAAAAACAATATTTTCTGTTAAAAATGAATGGCAAATGGAAATAAGGGCTTTGAGAATAAATGTTAGTATATTTTACTGGTGAAATAAAAGCCTACGAATTTGTTGTTTCAGTTCTAAAATTGATGACATTCTTAACCAAGCATAGTATTCCTGGTCTTAAGCCTTGGAAATAAAGAAAACAAGTATTTTTGTTCTTTTTTTAATTGCTTTACATTTTATGACATCTCATACATAGATAAACTTCTTGAAAATGATATAATAGTTACCTATTATATAATTGGCCATATTCTTCTTATACTATCTAACAAGATACTACAATGTACCTATTCTAAGGTTTTAAAAATGTCCAAATGGCATTCAGGAATTTCTAACCATTTTAGAATGTCCTCATAATTCTTAAGAAAAACAATGCTCACGCTGAAATGTATGGATCCAACTGAAAATATACTTTACTAAATTTTACTCTTTTGCATTTGTTGAAGCAGCAGTCACTTTGACTTTCACATCTTTTAAAGAGGTGGTTTTACATAACAGTGGTCCAAATTGAATGTGAAGCTCTGTAGAATTCTAACACAGAAGCCAGGAGGGCACATTCACTACAATTACTAAAATAGAGGGAGAGATGACTTCATCATGAAGCTTAAGCTTCAAGTACTCTCACTTTTATCAAACCCATTCCTAGTCTCTGGGATGTCCCAGTCCTTTCTCTATATAATTGTATATGTATTCTCTTTAAGTGGACATCCCATGTCATTATACAGTTCAAACCTTACATGCCTTGAGTCTACCTGCCTTCATATGATTCTGTTTCCTCAATCTGGTCCTTTGACTAATTTGCCAGTGAGTTCCCTATAAAAAGCATCGTTAATTAGAATCCCATAGCCAGTTTATAGGTAGAAGAGAGGGAAAGTACAGGGGTTTTTGCCCTCCTTTGTGATAGGAAAAATAAATAAATAACACTTCCAAAACAGGGAAGAAACCATTGAAATCTGAGTTTCCTAAAATTTTATTTGTTTTGTAAAACATGTACAGAAAGAAAATATAAGACCTGGAAAAGATTACTGGAATCTTTGATCATCCCCATATATGCATAACTTATTGGTGCAGTTACTAAATATCACCCTACCATCAATATGTCACTTTTCTGTCATTTAGTGGATTTATCTAATACATTCTCAAATTATCAAATTTACACTAGTCTGTTTGCTTTTAACTTGTGGCATGATGCATAATTTAAATGGAAACACAGCTTAACCAAAACTCGTTGTATAGCATTATGTTTAATTGTCATCATTCAGTTTTAATATTTGGAAGCCATTCACCTTTTTCATATTTTACATCTGGTTTTTAATCAGAAGCATTCAGAATTGAATGTCTTACTTGTTTATGTAGACAAGATGAACTTGCTGTCTAGAAACAGTTTCCATCTCTCTGGCAAAATATCTGTAGTGTTCTTGAAATATTTAACATTCATGAGAAATGCAAATGAGGTGTCATAACACATGCACACGCACACACACACACACACATACACACACACACACACACACACACACACACACACACACACACACACACTTAGGCTCTTAGACTGGACAAAGCAATAGACTAGAATACTCAGAAATTGTATCAACATTTCCTTCCATTTAAAGCATACACTTTTAAATAAATATTGAAAAAGTAAAGTGTGCTTAACTGCTCTGTCCTATTGAATCCTGTGTATTTTTGACATTCTTTTTACATCAGTATCTTGTCATTCAGTTTGAACCCAGCACTGTACCCCACTTTATGGCTTTATCTAAAAGACCTGCTGTTTTTTTACGCTGGTGTCCTTTTATTACCTCAGCATATGGGCAGTCTTCACAGGTGCAGAGACACCAGATTTGATTTTTCAGGAACTTGGAAGCAACCACTTAACTGGCCCTGAATTTAACAGGCTATCAGTGATTTGTAGCAGGTGCCCTGGGCTACCCAGGGCCTCAAGTCTCACATTTTAAGATATAAATACAATGGAGTAGTTTGGTGAAGCAATCCCAATTTACATTTTGTTTCCTCCTACCGTTTCTTCTAACAATGTCTTAGAATCCAGGCTGGGTAGTATTTCATGTTTTTATGCCAAAACAGCTTTGGCCTGTCAAAATGTTTTATGACAGCTTGAATAAAGAACCATCAGAGACCCGTTTGAGATGCAGAAGGCTACTTCCCATCTAGTCTCCTTATCAAAAACAAAAACAAACAAAAAGTGAGAGAAAGAGAGAGCGAATAAAAAGGGCGAAGATGGCTCTTTCTCCACCTGCCTGACAACCTAGGAGGTTAACCTATTGTTTTCTTCCCCTCTCTCTCTCTCTTTCCCCTCTTCCCTGTACTCCTCTTTTTTCTCTGTCTATCCCCTCTCTCTTTTCTTCTTGTGTTTTTTTTTCATGTTCAGCTTTAGTAACAAATGAGCATCTGTCAGTTTTATAAACTGCAACAATACTTGTTTAAGACAATCAATTTTGGATAAACAATCAACTACAGCAGAATAAATCAAGATTTTTAAAGCCCAATTTTCCTTTATACATTCCGCTTATTTTGTTGTTATATGTTTCTTTTTTAAATCGGATCTAGATTTAATGTTATGACATAAGCACAGTTAGGCTGCAGTGTAATATATAAAGACGTTGTTCTGAGAGTAGTTAAGATTCAATGGAAAGACTGTTTGGTGGCTTTGTTAAAAAATAATAAAGACTTTTTAAGGATATAGTGTAATTTTCTTCATTGCATTAATATAACCAAATATGCCTACCTATCTTTGTCTTGAACCAAATGAATAGATTTGGAATACTTGATTGTAATTGAATTTGATATAAAGTTGACTTAGCATTATCTGTTACCTGCATGCTTCTGGGTGCATTTAAAGATTTTAACTTTTAAGATGATACTCTGTTGTTTGAATTTTGACTACCTTTTGTGAGGCATACTGGCTACCTCCTCGTATTAGCTAAGATCTTCCAAAGCCTTATAATGAAAAGTTCATATAAATCATTTCTCTTTCAAATCACTGTCATAACTTGGTAACAGATCCCAGGAATATTGTAAATTTTCTAATTTACTCTGCACTTTGTATATCTAGCTTCTATTACCCTCAAGGTGAATATTAAACTATGTCTTTTTGAATATTTCTCTTTGATTTTGTGATAGCAGTCCCTCATATCTTGTACTAATTTTATGTATATGTCAACAGTGGTTGGTCTTTAAAAATAAATCAAAGAATAAGTAAGATGTCTAAATGTTTTTTAATATTGCTGTCAGTGTAGTGGTCTACCTGTAAATGATGTCTTATTTCCCTGGTGTTTTAATTTGATGGATTGACTGATTGATAGGTTTCTCGATGTGTTTCCAAGTCCATTCCAACCCGCGGTATGGCTTGAAGTAGGCTATGATGGCTCTGAGTGTAATCAAACCTCTGGTCCGATAGGCACAGGCACGTCAAAAATTTCGGTGGATGTCTTTTTGATTTACTGGAAAAGCAATTCAGTTAGTAACCTATGAGTTGGATCCTATGCTACCTATAGAAGCTTGCAGATAATACCTAGACGCCAGCAGACTGGAGTAGTCTGTTAAAACTGCTGTGAATGAGGTGATGTGGAAGCAAGGTCACTGTTCCAAGGAGCACTCTGCATAATGACAGTCCTGGGCTGACTGCACAATAAGTGCTTTGCTTCATCACAGTCATGCTTTCTTACATCATTACAGTTAAATTTCCAGGCACCAAAACCTACATTGACCCTGAAACCTATGAGGACCCAAATAGAGCTGTCCATCAATTCGCCAAGGAGCTAGATGCCTCCTGTATTAAAATTGAGCGTGTGATTGGTGCAGGTAAGGCTGTTGTAGCTTCCTTATTCAGCTGTTCTATTTAGCCAAGATCGAAAGTCATATATCATAATGACAGCCAAATAATTATACTTCAAGTGTAGAACTCTTGCATTTACCTGAAAGATTGGAAGCAATGAGGCTATACTTGTTTATGAAATCTTAAAAAAGAATTGGGAAGGGAGCACATAGTAGAGAGTCTGAATATATGTGATTTCAGCTGGGTTCTTAAGATACAATGTCATTAGCTACTTCATAGTCACTCTTGCTGTTTGACAGGAATAGCTTAGAATTTTAAACATGAGAATTGTATTGAATCTTGATGGAATATGCATTCCTATCTTTAAAACTGCCTTTTTTTCTCTTTTATTTGTAACAATTACCCATTGTACCATTTACATTAATGTAGAAAATTGTATATAAATTAATTAAATGGAAACTATAAAGTTTAAATTTTTTTCACCCCAAGGTACTTATATATAGGAAGTATAATGTGTAAAATTCCATACTTTAAAAATTTCTGATATATGTTGTTCCTTAAACTTTAGAAGCAATCACAATGGTTGTGATTTGGTAATGTGCCCTGATGCTTTCGTGAGTAGATACTTCTGATCTAAAGGTTGACTCTGAAAGAGTGTTTGTTCATCTAACTGACAGTGACAGCCTATGGAACAGATGTTTAGCTAAGCTTAACTGCTATGAATGAACAAAAGTGTGTCTCCAGTTTTAATTTTGTTTCACCCTTCATTTCATAAACTGTTTCGTTGAATACGGGAAATAAAAATTCCCCATCAATTTGAATGCATTTATTTGCACTTAGAAAAAAATGCTTTATTAATTAAAAACTTATTTTAAATATTTTAATCCTTTTCTTTGAAAACTTGAACCATTTCAGCAATTAAAACATGCCTGCTTGTTCTTTTACTTCAGGAGAATTTGGAGAAGTTTGCAGTGGTCGTTTGAAACTTCCAGGGAAAAGAGATGTTGCAGTGGCCATAAAAACCCTAAAAGTTGGCTACACAGAAAAACAAAGGAGGGACTTTTTATGCGAAGCAAGCATCATGGGGCAGTTTGACCACCCAAATGTCGTCCATTTGGAAGGGGTTGTTACAAGAGGTAGACACCGGTGATATGCTTCACTTATTACATAGAATGTGCTGGAAATTAGAAACATGGCACATACAACTAAATATCAAATTGTGAACACACTGCATTTCTGACTAATTTTTATTTGTGTGTAACTAATTAAAAAAACAATTATTTTTGCTGCTACTGCAGAATATAATCAAGGAAAACATGGGATTGGATGTAGCTAGAGTTTTCCTGCCTGGCCCACAGTCAGGACAAATCTCTTTCACCCGCCAGTCCCACAGCCACTCAGACCCAACCAAGTAAACACAGAGACTTATATTGCTTACAAACTGTATGGCCGTACCAGGCTTCTTGCTAACTGTTATTATATCTTAAATTAACCCATTTCTATAAATCTATACCTTGCCACATGGCTTGTGGCTTACCAGCATCTTCACATGCTGTTTGTCATGGCAGCGGCTGGCATTGTCTCTGACTCAGCATTCCACTTCCCAGAATTCTTCTCCTCCTTGTCCCGCCTATACTTCCTCCTGCCTGACTACTGGCCAATCAGTGTTTCATTTACTAACCAGTCAGAGCAACACATTTGCCACACAGAACATCCCACAGCAATTAGATTTGAAGAATGAATCTCAGGGCTAGGGTGACTGATTAATGTTTGTATTAATGTTCAACAGTCATAAAAGTGATATAGCTCCTCTCCATTTTATATAAAGTTTCACTTTTTTTGTTTGTTTGTTTTTTTTATTATTGTTGCTCACAAGCTAGAAATGAAAAGGGCTGGCAGCGCCTGTGACTGAGTGGATTGTGACCACATTCCACATTGCATGCCTGCCTGAGCTTAGTCCTATGATTAGAACTATGGTTAATCCCTCCTAAACTCCTCAGCTTCTCCAAAGTGGACCATGGGTTGGATTGGGGGAATGTAGAGTGAGAGTGGGGTGAAAGAATGAGAAATTCTCAGGTGTAGGTCATAGATTGTGAAAAACCATTTTTTTCCTATTCTTTACTTTATTATTAGGGAAGCCTGTCATGATCGTGATAGAGTTCATGGAAAATGGAGCCCTGGATGCATTTCTCAGGGTGAGTTCCCACATCATTCTCCCATGCACCTAGAATTGTGCCTAGGGGTGCAAGTTGCTGAACTTTGTCTCACAGTGTAAATGTGTAAACTGTATGAAATCAGAAAATTATCTTTGAAAAATCACAGTTCTAGACTGGGTTAAATCAGAATATTTAATAAAATGGCTTATTAATATTGTTACTTGAAGTATAGAGGATATCCCAAAGCTGTGCAACTTAAGTGCCTATTACAGGACAGGAAATAATTTGTAATGAATGATATGTGATGTTTCTATAAATCCTTAATTATGACCAAACATAGTTTTATTGTAGGAAGCTTGTCTATTCGGAATATGGGCATGTTAACATTTTCCAAATGGAAAGAGAAAATAGCTAGAGTGAGAATTCTTTTAATGTCTTCTTTATGGGATCTACAATGACACATTTAACTCACAGTTACAAATGGGGAAATGAATTAGAGGGACCCTAATTGTCATGTCACTATGATATGTGAAGTATCCAGTTTTCAGAAGTAATACCCAGCAAATCCACATTTTCAAACCCACGTCCTCCATGTAGCATGTCTCTATCTGTTTAGGACTGGATGGTGGCCACTTTGGTTGTGAAGGTCTGTCAACACTGTAGGCTCATACACTGTTGTGGGGTAGTTGTTGACAGTTGTGTGGCTACCAGCAACACTACCAAAGGACTGAAAGAAAGAAAATCAGCACTGCTAATCATTTTCTTTCCTAATTTTTCAATATTTTAAATCACAGTTTGACCCATTTCCTTTTTTGCTATTTGGAGAATAAACAATACATGTAGATCCCTTGCTCTATGCATTCTTAGACTGTTTATATACATGTTTTGGCATGTAGGAAACACTTACCTATCAGAGTTTATTTGTTGGAAATTCTATTTTCTAGCCTTGGCTGAAATTTTAGCAGATAAACAAGTGGATATTTATAATATCCAATTATTATCAGTTATCATGACAATAAAAAATGTATATAAATAAGTAGGTTTTACCACAAATCTATCAAATTATTGACTATCATCTCATCCAACATGTGCTATTTCCCCAGTAATTATCCATAATATACAGAAAATTAACTAACACTTCCTATTATACAGTGGTAAATTACAGGCATGCATACATTTTTTTCCTGGTGATTTTGGCCCCTTTAAAGTACCACTAAGTAGACTTTTTGTTTTGTCTTCCTGCAGAAACATGACGGGCAATTTACAGTCATTCAGTTAGTAGGAATGCTGAGAGGAATCGCCGCCGGGATGAGATATTTAGCTGATATGGGATATGTTCACAGGGACCTTGCAGCTCGCAACATTCTTGTCAACAGCAATCTTGTTTGTAAAGTGTCAGATTTTGGCCTGTCCCGGGTTATAGAGGATGATCCCGAAGCTGTCTATACAACTACTGTAAGAAAACACATATTATTGTACCTTTAATACCTAAGATATTCCAAGCAAGCAAGAAGGGCTTAATGTAAAACTAAACCCCAGGGAACATGCAAATTGACCTCAGCTTTTTTTGTTGTTCATTTGAGGACATTGATATTATTATTACAATCTACACATAAAACCAGAAAGTAAAAGAATAATGATAGCATGACATCTTACACTGGTGTTCTACTGCACTGGACTTACACTATGTAAATATTATACAGTTAAATTCAACAACATCTAGTTACTAGCTTATTATCACAACAGTAAATATAATCATATCTAATAAAACTTCCAAAAGAATGAGTATGCTAACTCATAACTTTTATGGTATCAGACAAAAAAGGCTAATGTGAAAAATTACTTAAATATCCCATTTTTCACTCCACTTTACTGGCAACGTACTCTAATTTATCATTATCTATTCATTAGACGCTTACCGTGACACCACACAAGGTCCATTAAATACAGTTGCCTTAGAAATGAGCACGTAATGAGAGCCTAATAGAAAGATTGGTAACTTCGAGTACAGAGAAGTTCAAGGTTCACAGACCTGCTGCTGCTGGGCTGTCAACTCATGTAGAAACATTTAACATAGCTGATGGTGAGCCCATAAATGATATATAAGCTACTGTGCATATTTAAAATGTCAACTTCTTTTTATAACAGGGTGGAAAAATTCCAGTAAGGTGGACTGCACCTGAAGCCATTCAATACCGGAAATTCACCTCAGCCAGTGATGTGTGGAGCTATGGGATTGTCATGTGGGAAGTAATGTCTTACGGAGAGCGACCTTATTGGGACATGTCGAATCAAGATGTAAGTGATCTCTTGTACAGACAAGACTCACACTTTCACATCCACTTCTAGTGTAACATAGTTGATGGCTCATTAGGGATAAATTTCTGTAAATTTATAAAAACATAATTTCCTAGCTTGCCATCATTATTAGTGCTAATGATGATAATAATTTTCATGAATTTGAGATTCTCTTGGTTTTATTTTGTTTTTTTTTTATTTAGAATGATTACTTTCTCATTTTTTTCATTTCAATTCTATCTGAACAATAGAATACTAAAAATGATAGTTCCTCCTTAATGATGATAATGGTACAAAGGGAAGTTCTTAAAGAGTTGGGTAAAAACACTGTAGCAGAACAGGAATCTCTCAACTGCCATGTAGAAAAAGAAAGCCACTAGCAAATGAAGTGGCACTCTAGTTCTTAAGGTGATATAGACATAGGCAAGATTAGGAATCGGCTACAGCTAAAATTCAGGCATTTTCGTTAAATCAGTACCTTTGTAATTTCTAGTTACCTGTAGCAAGTTTCTGTGGCTTTTAAAGTCACATGCCCTACATGGGGGTGCTTTTTGGTGCTTCAGATCTCTGCATTAACTTAAAAAATGTATGCCTGGAAAGAGGGAGGCTTTTAATCATTTATAGTGTTTGGTATTTTGAATTGAGTGATTAGCTTTTTCCTGGTTTTGTTTTATTGGTAGTGTTTCAGAGACAAAATCTAAATGATGCTTCCTTTTGGCAGGGGCAGAGTTGCTCATATTTGACAGGTTCCACCGTCAAAGATTTCATGGACTGTCAAAATATGGCAAACAAATCCTTGGGGCAGAAAAAGGGAATATTTACATCCCTAGATACTCCATAGAGTTTCATCTCTTCTGACACCTTCCTTTCATACTTGTTTTAAACGGAAAAGGATTGACAGGAATGTAAGATGACTTAAACTCAAAGTTTACCTAACTTACAAAAATGACAGAAGTACTTGAGAAGGAAAAAAATTCAATTTTAAGTTTAGAAATACCCTATTTTTTGTTTTTCTTTAAAATATACATCACAAATAAAGAATTGTTTTAACAAAAAAATTTGTCAATTAAATAATACTATAGCTGGAGTGAGGTTTAGTTTTGACTTCAGCATTTAGCAACAGCATTTTAACTTTTTCATCTTGAAATTCTGAATTCAATTTGGGCATGGGTTTTTGTAATACAAAAGATGATCTACATACTGAGTTTATAAAGAGAAATTTATATTCATATTCTTATTGGAGCATGCTTTGTCTTAAAGTTAAACATTGATATATTATTTAACTAATCATGCTTCATTTTCAATGTTGAAATTGAGATAAAATAGATTTTATTTTTCTTTTCAAGAGAAAAGGTTCCCTTCTTGAATCTGACCAAAGTTTTTAGCCAGTTGATAGAACTGTGGATTCCCGCTAGAACTGTGGATTCCCGCTGCATGAGGGGCCTTCTCTGTGCAGAGGAGTATATTGCATTTCCAGAGATGGTTGCTCTAATCAGAGTTTATCATATATTCAAGTGCCCTGTCATTGAGTTAATTCCACAGCCCTCTGGATAGATTTAGCAAATGAACTGAATTACTTTGCATTGCTTAAAGTTATCAGGTAGACAACTGTGAGGTATTTTAGAAAGGCCACAAATTTCAAATGCATTGGATTTTAAAAGTCTTTTTGTAAGATACCATGAAAACAAGATGTAAATTTACAGTTATATTCCTAGGCAAATCTACAAACATCTAGGCTGAATGTGATATGAGATTAAGTGTCCGTACTCACAATAAGGAAACAGAAAGGGTGTGGGTGGCAAAGGAGTCAGTGGTTCTGGCAGTAGTCTGATGTCACTCCAGACAGAGAAAAAAACAAGAATATGGAATGAGAAAATAGGTGTATACATGGCCAAATATAGTCAAACAGCTTATCACTTCATAAGCATTTGAATAACCTTTTTTATGTTCAGATAACTATAACTTTCTGGAATTTCAATGCAATGGAAGCAGTTTAACACATGTTAATGAAATCAAAAGTTTAAGCGTTCCCAATACATTTCCAACTTTCATTTTTCAGAGCAGTATATAAATATTTGACTGTTTTATTTAATGGTTTTTCAAAGAAAAATCATTATGTGTTTACAGGTGATATAAGGATTCTTGCAAAGTTTGAAAACATTCTCTTGGCTTTCATAGAGCTGCCTTTTAAATGGACTTATTATTGATAGGTCAAAATCAAATATTTATTTCCAAATAATGCAATTTTAATATTACTAAGTAATTCTTTTTCTTTTAATAGTACTCAAGAAAGTTGGTGTTGTTTTGTTATTACTTTAATCAAAGCACAAGGCAGATAAATTATCCATTTCACTGGTAGGTGGTTGTAAGTGTGGTTTGAAAAGAATAAACTTTCATAATTGTGATTTCTTAAATCCATCTGTTATACGGTCATCTAAGGACAAGCAGACATGCTTCAGAGGTCCAGAACTCCTGATAGGCTTGCAAGCACATAGGGCAACTCACAAATACCTGGAACTTCAGTTCCAGGATTCTGACACCCTCTTCTTGCCTCCACGGATAAATGTTGGGCACATATATACATGCAGAGACATGTTCATATATGTAGAATAAAATAATAAGAGCTTTGAAAATATAATATGCATATGCCTAAATTTATTTGGGGGAGTAATTTATGCCCCTTCAACTTTTGCTTTTTAAGAGTTACCACTGGTTTTATGACTTTATATTTTTATATTAAAATAGAAACAAAATTACAATTTTTTTTTCTGTAGTGTTTAACAAAATCCCACAAGTGAAGTTTACCATATTTAGTAGCATACTGTTTAGGTCGTGTTCTCAGAGGTAAGGAAGTGAAACTGAGTGGTAAGCCAACACAGGAACCAGACATGCTGTACCCCATCTTGAGTTAATATAGACCTGTCAGCAACAGGCTTGTGTATTTCTTCTCTGAACTCTGATGGCCATACCATAGGAATGAGGGTGCTAGAACTGTAGTGCTAAATTTGATATATAAGTAATATCATAGTGTGCACCAAAGAGGTCATCTCCATTAGAGGAGTGAGGACAGATCCATGCAGGCAAACCCAATAGGCTTCTGAGAATTTCAGGAGATATGTTTTCAGTAAATTCACTGAACTCATAGGCCGCTTAATCGGCATGCTTCATTGTTTATAAGAATATGTAAGTACTTGGAAAAAACACTATTAGTCTCCTCACTGGAAATGTAAAATAGTTTATATCCCCATGGACTCCAAACAGATCACCTACATCCAATTCTGTCTTCCCTAACAACTGTGGGATTTGAACACTTTATGTGGTATAAATTCTTTACTTCTAAAGTCGTTATAATAATAGTATTTGCTTAAGACAGTTTCTTTAATAATTCAAATAAGAAAATTCCAGTTCAAAGCCATGTTAATCATCTAGTAGAAATTTGATGTATATTTACTATAATTGTTAGCTGTGTCCTTAACTGGTAAGCTAAGGAAATAAAAACTTCAGAACCCTGAACATCAGCTTCAACAAGGTGTTAGTATGTTGACCAGTTCATTGCCAAAGGTTAAAAGTTGAATGATGCCAAGCTGCTCTAAATGGAGATGCACCCCAGAGAGAGTCTCTGGTGCCCCTCTAGAGTAGTGGCCAACATTGCCAAAGGGAACAAAACATCTGGGTCCAAAGTAAAGTCTCGTCCTAGGACATATTGAAGTTTTGTAATCTGCTACCACTGCTCTGAGTGTGTAGCCGACTATATCTTTAAACATTCAAAGATAATTTGTTTCCCACTGACGTTAGTGTTTTTCTCTACTACAACAGTAGACTTCATAAGTTTCTAGAATGAATGGGATACCTACAAGGGTTCATTAACTCTTTCTTTCCTGTAAGGGATTTAGTAGTACTTACTTCCTTGGCCCAAAGTTCTGGATATACATGGGATTCTAAGCTCAAGAATCCTAAAAGACATCATAAAAGCTTGGAGCCCTGTTGAAGAGTCTCATGCCAGAAGGATCATGAGAGAATTTTAGTTTAAAAGATGGTTTTGAACATAAGGAAAAATAGATATTTCTTCCTATAGTATTCTTGTGAGGCAGCCTAAAAAGTCCATATGGGGAAACTGATTAGGCAGTAGAGGAGGTGATGAGAACTGACCTAATGCTGTAGATATTGAAGTGAAATTTTGTCAAATTAGAAGAATATTATATGTGTTCAATATAAGCAACCGTGGACATATGAGAAGCCACTCTTCCAGTGGGAAAAAATATTTTCCCAAGTATTAATTATGTGGTCATTTTAATGCATACAATTTTGGAAGTTATTTACATTTCACAAGTTATACCACGGTTTAAATCACTTAGCCTAGATTTTTTTCAAAAGTACATTTGCTTTCCTCTAAAGTGTTTTACATACAACACTTGAATCCAAGAACAACATTGTTACTTGAATGTTGGGTAACATTTTGTTATAGCCCAGTGATTAATTGCATTTACAACTCTTGAAGAGGACCTGGGTTCAATTCCAAGTGCATATGTCTCACAACTCTCCATATCTTCAGTTCCAGGGGGTCCAACGCCCTCTTTTGCATACACAATGCTACTCATACATACATGCAGGCAATAAAAAAATAAATAAAATTTAAAAATATGATTCCATGTGCATATGTACATATATTTGTTATATATACACATATGTGCAATCTGTGTAGAGATACCATTTATGTATGTTTGCCTATGGGATAAATAGCGTGATAGAGATGTAGTTCTGAGGACTGTTTCCAGTGTACTTGCAGTTGGGGATCATCAACTCTCATATAACCTCTGTTAGTGCTCACAATCATCACTGGTTAATGTTTTCCCCTTTATTGTTCGGAAATAATCAGTGCTTACAGAAACAAACGAGACTTTGTGAAGACTTACCCTGAGACCATAATTGTACTCTACAGGAAGTAAGCAATTATTTTCTTAGTACTTAGCGTATACTATTTCAGGACTCAGAACCATGAAAAAGTGCTAAAGAATTGCCTATGCATAGAAGAGAAAATACAATACCATGCTCAGCTTTCTGACTGGGACAACTCAAAGTACCACTGGATGAAACAGGAAAAAAATGAAGGGAAAGTGATACATTCACTTTAAATTAATAGATTGTGATAAACATATGAAAACTGTGGGCAGAGATTAGTAGTAAACTGATAAAATGCAGACAACTGTGTAATTTGAAAAGATTTGGCACTAGAATTTTGTAGTTAATACTTTTTAAAACTTGACAAAATTAAGTTTATTTATTTACCATTTTACCTTATAATGTACCCCTGCGTATGTCTTTTAAATTACAAAGTGGACTCATCTTTGTTTTTCACATGTATAATAGACTTTTCTCCTAAAAATGTTGATTCTAGTTACATCATTTATTTTTACCCTCCAATTTACATATGTTTTAGTGTGCTATTCCTAAAAGAGAACATACATCTTGTGGACAAGTGTCCCTAAACCTGTCAAGGTCATTACCATTTATTGACGTCAGTTATTTGTTTGACTATATCTGCCTTTATTTTCTTCAAAAAACTCAAGGTCAGTTTTGTGAGATTTCTTTTCCAGAAATTCTTTTTTCTTAGAGTTTTAATTTTATTTGGGGGATTGTAATGTATTTACAACATTTATCCCTTTCCTTTTCTTCCTCCAAGTCCTTCTCTATACATCTCCACACTCTCCTTCAAATGCATGGCCTCTTTTTTATCAGATGTTATTACATGCATATGCGTATAATACATGCACATATATTCCTAGCTGACACGTTAGCACTAGACAACCACTTGGTGTGCTCTTCCCTGGAGGAAAGTCACTACCTTCCACTCTTAGCTTTCCTCAGTTGCCTGTAGTTCTTGGTGTAGGGTTGGCGACTCACGGGCTTTTGCCCATCTACTCTAGCATGTTTATGGATGTCATTCTTGTTCAGTTCATGTTTAAGGAGTCACGTTGGTGAAACTTCATGTGGGGGACTACTGATGTTATTGGGCGAGACAATCTCACAGCAAACTCCCTGGCCCTCTGTCTCTTACAGTCTTTCTTACCCCTCTTTCACATGTTCCCTGAGCGTTAGTGTGGGAGTGTTTTGTAGCTGTTGTATCCTTGGTGACTAGGCTGTACAACTCTACATTTTGATTGATTGTAGTTGTGTATAGTGGTCTCCGTCTGTTGCAAAAATAAGTTATGGTTATTGGAGGAGAAACTACAACCAATAATTTACTAAATCAGCATAATCCCTAAAAGCAATCTGTAAACATTTGTCTTTACACCCACAGATCTTTTTTCTTAAATGTTCAATGCTATCATGTTAGCCTGTGTAAAGGGATTGTATTTCTCCTTGGGTAATATTGTTTATTTTTTAAAGCCCTTATTGATATTGCTTACATTCCTATTATTTTCCCATGTTATTCAGATTAATACTGAATTTAGATTTTTAAGATCATTTTTCCTTTTCATATAACTAAGAAAATTGATGATAAGAAACTTAAGCTCTCTAATGTCTTTACAGAAATGTTTTTGCACACCTATTTTATGTTTTTAATTAATATTCACACTTAATGCAATAATTCCCCCTGGATGTTATTTATACATAAATTGTATGTGGTAAAAAAAAAAAAAAATTAAATGAGTACGCTGAATCATTAAGCCTTGACTAAAACCTCTTCTCGGTTTTCCACTTGGAAGCTTTCTCTATGCTTGTTTCTTTTCACCTTCTACTGGCAGGTAGGTGAATGTATAGCGAGGAAGGAATCCAGCCACCTTTCATGGACCAGAACAAACTGTCCAGCAAGCTCTAACACCACATTACCCAAAACAGTAACCTTCATAGTTGTTAAGAGAACAGTGTGTTCAATAGTATGTTCTGACATAGCACATTCTTTAGTGTGATCTCTTCTTCTACAAGTGTTATCTGCACTCATCAAAAAATGAAACTCTTTGGCTTATGTTCAGTAACTCACTTTCCTTTTCCACTTTCATTATCTTTTACTTCTATGCACATGTGTATTCTTACAACTATATTCAGCTAAGAGAGTTCCATAACATGTCCCCTTTTGAAAACCTCTGGGGTGGCATTAAAAAATATTTCCATCTCTTGCACCCTGTGTGAACTTAATTGCCGTCCCCAGTTGCTGAATTAACTAGGAAATGTCATCATATCCTGCACCTCATGGACCCCATAATAACATGCTTAATATATTCATGACTGTTTTGGAAAGAAAAAAAGATTTTTGTTTTTGTAAGCAGTATGTCTCAATCTTATCTGGATAAATCATTTTGCCTTCCAAGCAGTTCATTTCATTGCAATTGCAGCTCTCTTGGTAATATTTTTAATGTCCTTTTGGCTCTCAGGTCATAAAAGCAATAGAAGAAGGTTATCGTTTACCAGCACCCATGGATTGCCCAGCTGGTCTTCACCAGCTAATGTTGGATTGTTGGCAGAAAGAACGGGCAGAAAGGCCAAAGTTTGAGCAGATAGTTGGAATTCTAGACAAAATGATTCGAAACCCAAGTAGTCTGAAAACACCCCTGGGAACTTGTAGTAGGTAAGAAATCTCTAGTGAGATGGAACTGAATGAAATTAAAATATCCACATAAACCATTTGTCTCCTTAGCTTCACCCCAATTCAAACTGATGTCTGTGTTCAACCATAAATCCATACTAAAATGCTTTGTTTACAAAGGTTTATTGGCTTTTTTTTTCTTTTTCTGATAGTTTACCTTAAATAGTATTTAAAGAAATCCATTCATTGTTATTGGACTAGCCTTTTCTTAGAACTTCTGATAACACCAGATGTCTTTCTCAGAAAATCTTCTGGGTTGGCTTGGTTTTGTGATCAGGAGAGAATGCATGATATCAGGCATGCATTGTCATTATCTAGCTTTGATCGTGTGGCTCTAGCTTTGGCATGTTATTATATTCTAATTTATTGATTTGCTTTGTTTTTTGCTAAAATGCTTCTGTAGAATTAGAAATTATAAAAAGTAACTGAGCATATGCCATGCTAGATACCGATTACAAGCTGACCCTTCACTCCTAGCACAGGGCACAGCAGGGCATTTTCAGCTTCAGCTGCAGGTAAGCTTGCTGCTGTGGGCTGTACTCATAGGGGTCTATTATCTCCATGGGACTCCCAGTATGTCATCAAAACAGAGAATTTTTAATGCTCTGAATAGCACCCTGGTGTCCTGGGTAAGTTAGGATATAGCCAGATATACTTCCTTTTACTCTCAGCTACTTGTAAAAAAGCCAATGAACAAATATGACTCTTCCAAGCATCTTCAACCTATGTAGTGTTTATGAGCATGTGGCAGACACAGTTCAGTGAGCACACTTACAATTAAACCTTAAGTTCAGGTATTTATCATTTCTGGATAACTTACATGATTTTGGTTATTATATAGATCAATTAAAACATCTGGCATCATTTCCTATACCCCCACTCCCCCCCTTTTTGTGTGTGTGTACCAAGACATCTTTCTTTGGTAATTTCTGAGAATATTTGTCTCTGTGTTTTATTCTTACCTAGGCCTATAAGCCCTCTTCTGGATCAGAATACTCCTGACTTCACTGCCTTTTGTTCAGTTGGAGAATGGTTGCAAGCTATTAAGATGGAAAGGTATAAGGATAACTTCACAGCAGCGGGTTATAACTCACTTGAGTCTGTGGCAAGGATGACTATTGAGTAAGTTTAAACTTGTTACATTGTATTTAAGAATTGATTAGGTACAATACACAAATTCACATGCTAGGTCATCCTCTTTATAGTAAAAGGCTGTAGATTACAAAATTAGAGGGAAAAGGCATTTCTTTTTTTTTTTTTTTTAATTTATTTTAATTTATTTTGCAATACAATTCAGTTCTACATATCAGTCACGGATTCCCTTGTTCTCCCCCCTCCCGTCCCCCTCACCTTCCCCCCAACGCCCCCCCCCATTCCCATCTCCTCCAGGGCAAAGCCTTCCCCACAGACTGGGGTCAACCTGGTAGACTCAGTCCAGGTAGGTCTAGTACCCTCCTCCCAGGCCAAGCCAAACAATCCTGCATAGGCCCCAGGTTTCAAACAGCCAACTCATGCAATGAGCACAAGATCTGGTCCCACTGCCTGGATGCCTCCCAAACAGATCAAGCCAATCAACTGTCTCACCCATTCGGAGGGCCTGATCCAGTGTGGACCCCTCAGCCATTGGTTCATAGTTCATGTGTTTCCATTCATTTGGCTATTTGTCCCTGTGCTTTATCCAACCTTGGTCTCAACAATTCTCGCTCATATAAACCCTCCTCATGTCGATAATGCTTTAAACATAAATTCTCTTTTCAGCAGCATATTAACCATTTCATGAAATCAGTAGTCATGTATTAATTTTGTAACTGATAAGGCTAAAGGGCAGAATATTTAAATACCCTTTGCGGTGACTCAGCAGGAGTTTGACATATAATTTGTCTCCATGGCCAGCATTCTGGACCCTGTGTAGGGGGGCTTTCTCCTTATGAACCACTGTATCATTCAGGTTCCTATTCACTGGGGGATATTCCTGCAATCAGTTTAAAATTACTATGAACTTGAAGTCAAAAGAACTAAGTTTTCTGTTCTAGTTGATCACGGATTAAATGGTCTTCAGAGCCCTCCTAAAGACCTCTCCGGCTAGCAATCAAATACTTTTTCTATATATGTCCAGAAATGACATGCATGTGAACTTAAGCATACCCATGCTGCCCCTTCCATTTTTTCCTAACGGCCATATGGAGAGCGCTGACTTGTTTACACCTGGATTTCCAAAGCAATCTTTGTTTCTGTAAATCTGTGCTTTTATAAGAACCTGCCATACAATACAATAGTATTATATCATTGTAATGTTTCAACTACTTGTAAAAATCTACACTCAACATTTCCAGCTATTAGGAAAGACAATAGTATAAAAATAATTATAATTAACTTACTGCACATTTAAACTGTGACTGTAGCATTGTACATGTATGTAACAGTTTTATCCTTACTATTGAATTGAAGGAAAGTAATTACACTGTTAGGAATACATGCCCAGAATCACAGAATTCAGCTCACTCTACATTTTTGTGTAACATTGGTCTCTGAGCTTTTTACTAGGTTCCAGCAAGTATTTCCATTACCAGAACACCCCATTTTTTCCAGTTTATAAATAACTTAAAAGTTTCAGCATTTCAAGTAACGTTTAATTACCTTTTAAATCGGTAATAACATTTTAAGGTTGAAACACTTTTTATATAAAATTTCAGATTAGTTAAAAAGCAGCAGTATAGTGAATTAAAAGACAGCCTCGTTAATCCAGTTTTTCAAAGGAGACTGTTCAGACAGGTCCCCATATGATCTTTGGAGTAGGATTGCAGTGCCCAAGAATACCATTGGTATCTGTTAGTCTAAATTATACCGAAAACTTTATTGATAGTTGATGAACACTTTGACCATTCTTGGTTCTTTGTAACATATCTAATAAGCATGCACTTGTCTTTTTCAGTGATGTGATGAGTTTAGGGATCACACTGGTTGGCCACCAGAAGAAGATCATGAGCAGCATCCAGACTATGCGAGCACAGATGCTGCATTTACATGGAACAGGCATCCAAGTGTGACATGTAGTTCTCCCTCATGTGGGACTTATGACTGCAGGAGAACAGTTCTGGCCTTCAGTATATGCATAGAATGCTGCTAGAAGACAGTCGGTATACTGAGTCCTTCCTACAATAAAGAGAAGATTTTAGAAGCACCTACAGACTTGAACTCCTAAGTGCCACCAGAATATATAAAAAGGGAATTTAGGATCCACCGCTGGTGGCCAGGAACACAGCAGTGACAATAAACAAAGTACTACCTGAAAAACATCCCACCACCTTGAGCTCTCGAACCTCCTTTTTATCTTATAGACTTTTTAAAATGTACATAAAGAATTTAAGAAAGAATATATTTGTCAAATAAAATCATGATCTTATTGTTAAAATCAATGAAATATTTTCCTTAAATATGTGATTTCAGGCTCTTCTTTTCCAGAACCATCTGTGTTTCTTCTGCATAAGGACTTTGTTTTAGAAAATGATTTGTAGCTTTGGACCTTTTTAGTGTTAAATTTATGACACGTTACTACACTGGGTACCTTTGAAAGAATCTCAAAAAGGAAACTACACACAGAGTTGAGGATATGACTTTGTCCTTCACGGCTTTGGTATCCTTGCTGTGTCATTTTTTTCTGTTAAACCAGTGATGTTTTGATATTGTTTGCTGATTGGCAGGTAGTTCAGAATTGCAAGTTGCCAAGAGCTCTGATATTTTTTTAACAGGATTTTTTTTTTTAAATCAGACAACATACTAACTTTTCAATGAAAAAAAAAGCAATAATGATCCATAAATACTATAAGGCACTTTTAACAGATTGTTTATAGAGTGATTTACTAGACAGAATTTAATAAAAAAAAGTCAAATTTTAGGTTTATGTGTATATGATAAAAGGCTGAGGCTTCATCCGAAGATGCTGGTGAAGGCAGGGTCTGCAGGCAGGAGTTCTCCAGCATGAGAGAAAACCCGGTCTGAGCACATCAAGAGTTTTCAGTCTTGTGACATTAAGTAATTTAGGAGAAATAGTTGACCTATATTTTGTATTCTTTCTTGTTGAATGCAGTCCAAATACAAAAGTAAAGAATTACGTTTTCTATTGTTACTCTGGAGCAAGATCAAAGGGGCAGTTCTCTTCTCACCACTCAAAGACAAATTTGCCACAGAAACTATCACCATTGCGGTGAGAAGCAAAGCAAAACAGAGGTATTTTATCTATGAACACACACACACACACACACACACACACACACACACAACTCTTTTAGATCAAAACTCTTTTACCACAGAAGGAAGAAGTAAAGGGTCTAGCTTTTCCGTTTCCACTTATTTATTAAACCATATTATTTGGTTACTTTGTTAGAATTTCATAAGCAATAATTAAATGTGTCTTTATAGATATTTCAGGAATGTATACATATTTGAGTAATGTTTTCAAAAGTTACAAAAATCATGAACTACCCCACACCGAACTGTCGTACTTCCAAAGAAAATTGGGCTGTTTATAATGATTTTAATAGAGAAGGACCCCAGGGACTGGTCCTGATTGGTGTTGTTTGGTAATGTGGGCATCCACAAACAAACAAACAGGTAACAAGCAAAATCTGTAAATGTTCCTTTGTAAAACTTGTACATTTTATTTATACCGTCTTGTTTTGTATACACATTTCTCGGTAGTGGCTCTGAGTACATTGAAAATGCACTATATTTTTCTATTTTACTGGCAGAGCTTCACAAAGAAACAGGTATTTTCAGTGCTACATAATGTGTTTTCCCACATTTAGGACCAAAGATGGCTATAGAAAACTCAAATGGATTGCTTCCCAAACCCCTCCCCACCCGTTGTTTTTGTTTTGTTTTTTTTTTTTAATCACTGTACAGTGTTGTTTGATATTTTAATTTATTTTTTGATTGAGTAGAGAAACTCATTTTAATTTCACTAAAATGTTTTTGTCCCTAAGGAAAAAATAATCTGTAAAAATAGTTTTAATTAGCATAATCCAGTCACCTAGACACTTCCATTTGTAATCTTTGTAATAGACTGTAAATATATTTTTGGAACTATAACACAATGTGCTTGAGGGTTATTTTTCAGTGTCTGCAACGTATACACGTGTTTCTACTAAGGACAGCCCTTTACAGTTCTAATCAGTAGCATTGGCCTTCGTGCGAATGAGTGAGAGCTTGAGTGAGTGTTCTCTAATTCCGTTTGGATTCTGGACTCACTAATAATGAAGTTCTTTTCTTGTTCATAGCTTAAGGTGCTTATTTTTTCTATTAAAATTAAATTAACAAAAAGCCATTCTAGAAATAGAAGACGCAGTATGGTACATGCAGACGAAGTCTTTCCTGCTTTTTCTAGTAATAGATTTATAGTTGAGTAGTCTTTCTTGAGTAGAAGGGCAGAATAAAAGTTTTTCTTTTGAGTTCTTTTTTTCAAAAACAACTTTTTCCTTCAGCAATATACCTCATCTGCCTTAAATTTTTTACAGCTCTTTACAGGGAAAGGGGAGAAGGGATGGGAAAGACACACAGCACAATAGGAAATGGATGATTGCATCGCGTGCTCTCGTTTGTAGGTTTCTTTTCCTAATCAAAAATATGATTTTGAAGTCCATGTATGTGAGACAAACCTGAAGAGAAAAGCAATTAACATTGTGAATCTGATTGTAATCCTCTCTTCAGGAAAGAGATGAGATGCTATTGCGATGGGAATGTACAACTTGCACCTTGAAATCTTTTTTGATAACTAGTGCTCAGGGGAGAAAAAAGTAGAGAAAGCAAATGCCCAACAGAGAATTCCAAAATTATAAAACACACAACAGGAAATGGCCTCCTTGCTTTAATACAGCCACCTTTTATAGAACACCGCCCGCCCACTTGACCTGGTTTGCGTTCAGTACTGAAATACAAGTAACTTGTTACATTGGGAGCTAATATTTTCTCAGCAATGGATCAGGGCCTTGTTTACTAGAACCGGTGGCTCATGCTTGGCAGAGCACTATTAGTTGAATCATATTGTATACTTATGTAATCTACATTAGCTAGTACTATTTAGGACTATATTTTAATTGCTCCTCTTATTGGTGTTTTAAGACAATTGAAAGGGTGTAAGTCACCTCTCTTTTATTTAGGTAATGCTGATTCCCCCACCCCTCCCCTTTTATTTCCTGAGCAGCCTAAAACTGTACTGCTCATCTATGTGCATGTTCCAATGAATTACTGATGTGTATTTTTTTGCTATATGTGGAGAAATCATGGGGAACTTGGGGCGAGATATGCTTTTTGTTGGTTGAATTTTGTCCCTCCTTGCCTAAGAATTACTACAGGGGTTATCCTTTTATAAGGACAAAATGCTTTTGAACAGTGTCTTCAATGTATCAAGCACAAATAACTCTTTCTTCAACACGAATCATAAGTCTCTTTTTACCAGCTTAAAATAATAAACAAGTCTATTAGACAATGTAAAGAAAATCCAGTCTCCAGTCATTGGCGGGTTCTTTCACATTTCTTATGCTTTCCTTTCGGATCTAATATCTTGGGAAGAGACAATATTTTGTAGAAATAGTTCAGTGTACTGATCAGAATATGAATAAAACTGATTATTCCTACTCCCCCTCTTGTATACTGACCTAATTTCACTCTAATCATTGATTATGGAATAACAAGACAGTTTACAAAGGGCCAGATTGTTGAACATTTCAGTTAAGACCTGGTTTTGTTTGTTCCTGAAGCTACTACATGAGAGTAACAAGAACATTTGCATGAGAAAGGAGAGACTTTGTCTTTGGCCCTTGACTGACATGGTAAACATCTGATATAGCAGACAACACTGGGGAAAATTTGCATTAACACTACTGGGTAATGCAAACAGCAAAGAGCACAAAGGCCAAGTGGGACCCAACTGGTTGTCTGATCCAGCTCTGTAGTGCAGTCCCTGGCTTAGTGATGAACTTGCAAATGAACCTAAGAAAACCAAGCCCTCTTACAGCATCAGCATCTAAAGGTGAACCATGAATAGCAAACAGGTCAAGAAAATGGTCCTTCTCTTGACGTGACCAGTGCTTCTGCAAGGCCATCATATCTCTGATGACGCTCATGCTGATCTAAAGCAAAACGCAAGGAGAATGGTGAAACTTAGGCCTACCCTGCCCGTTCCTGCAAAGTGCTAATGAATAACGAATACAATGGCCAAAGACATAAGTTAGCAACGAAGACAGCAAAACCCCATCATTCATTGTACAAAGTGGGAGATTACACAGGTCAGAAGACAGAAGCAAATTCTGAAATGAGCAAGTATTTCTTCAAGTTCCGTCTTCATATGTGGTGTAAAAGCATCATCTTATCACAATGTCTTTCCCCAGAATTATTCAGATATAAGCATGTGACCAGTATGAAGCAAAAAAAAATACTTGAGTATTTATGGTATTAATATTTTTTGGTGTAGCATTTAACTTTGCTCTTCCCCTTGGCTGTGCATTTCCAGCTTCAATAAAAACTCAGTATCAGTTCTGAGGACAAAGTCTGAAAGAAGTCATGAAAATTAAAAAAAAAAAAAAGTGATCAAGTTCCTAAACACAAACATCATAAGTACATATATTAACAAGTGATAAAAGCCAGCACATGGCACCTGGAATTTTTTTTTTTTTTTTTTTTTTCCGAGACAGGGTTTCTCTGTGTAGCTTTGCGCCTTTCCTGGAACTCACTTGGTAGTCCAGGCTGGCCTCGAACTCACAGAGATCCGCCTGGCTCTGCCTCCCGAGTGCTGGGATTAAAGGCGTGCGCCACCACCGCCCGGCCGGCACCTGGAATTTTAAAACTACTGAGAGGCAGTGTGCCCGCGGCCCTGTCCTGTCCATAGACCTTTCTCTGTGCTTTCTTGTCCATCTGCATCTCCACGTAGTTCAGGGATATGGGCAGGATGGCAGCATTGCAGTACAAATTCTGTGAGTCTCATTAGAGTTAAGTGCTGTAGGGTTTTTTTTTTTCAAGTTCAATGATTGAATGTAATTAAATCTATAATTAAACAATAAAAGATCTCTTCTGATTGACCTTGAGGTTAAAATAAATATAATTAATTGATTCAATTTAATTGGGCCTATTGCACAAATGTTTAGTGGGTAAGGCTAAGAAACACTAGTCTAGTGTTTCATAAGTCGGTAACAATCAAAGGAATTCCTAAAGTATAAAATAGTTATAGGCATTCCTAAATTTGGTACTTTGGCAAAATAATAAAGTGTGAATTGTTATAAGCCTCTATGGATAACTGAACTCCATCAAGCATGATCTGCACTTATATTGGATTACTTTGAATGTCCTAGATTTCTGAAGATTATTTTTGCTTTCCTTTTAAAATTCACCACCAGTAATTAGATATCTTTATAGATTTTGTATGTAGCCAGAATAAGCATAAGATATCTTTGGTGTGTCGTTATAAACAGATGTGATTGTAGATCTTACTTAAAGATGCTCCTAAGAAGAAAGCAGTGCTCATTCTAGTTTAGGACAGGGAAGTCTCACCATGGCACCACATAACCCAAACCACATAAAATGCCTGTCTAGACACCAAACTAGAAAGACAAAGAGAAAATAAAAGTCCATATGCAGAGCTGGCATTCATTTAAGTGTTACTCTATTAAATAGTTTCACAATTTGTGAAATAAGACAAACAGCTCAAGAACATTGTTTCTATGTGATGTGAATTTACATGCACATTATGTAGATACCATAGACTCCTGCACAAATTATAAAGGCAAGCCTAACCCTTGGCACCTGTGCTGAAGATAGACACTACTTACATTAAATGCACATGAATGTAAGGCTCAAATGAACTCTTTTTAGGAAAAAGAAATGCATACCTTGAACTCTAACATACACAGAATGGTGTTGATATGCTGGCCCAACATTGATATGATACCATGTTTTTGTTTAGCTCCTTTGAAGTCCCATGGCTAACCTCTCCATACATTAGCCAGAACGTGGCTTGACAGAAATAGCAGGAGCAGAATGCTACATATATACAATCTCAGCCGGACCTGAAATGAACATGAGCTAATGGTTACCACTCCTGCTCCCGAGTACTATTGAGATATGTTTGGTGTGAGAGAGCTGTATAAGGCATAAACTTTTAGAAGTTGTAGAAGTTTTACTTTCCAACATCACAGTCCCTGAGACTTTTTCTTTTTCTTTTTCTTAGTTTTACTGTGTAGACAAGGCCTTTCTTGAGTTCATAGCAACCTTCCTACTTCAACTTTCTCATGCTGTATTAAATTGGAGGAATCCTCCTCTCACACAGTACCTTCTCTAAGCTTTCTCTGATAACATGAATCAGAATTAATGTTCTTTTTGTGCTATGCCACATTGCCAGTACTGTGATCATCCAATCCTGTTCTCCAGATGATTTGGGTGTATCTCTCCTATACTAAATAGACTAAGTGATTTTGGAAAGTAGAAGCCAAATGGAATTCAATGTCAGTATTTTTCTTGCAGTCAGTAGATATTCCATAATTATTTCAAAACCTGTGAAGTATAAATTAATTTATATATATATAAATAAATTATATTATATATATAAATAAATTAATATAAAATAATATATATTAAATAGTAGCAAGTATCAGGTGCTCTGAGGAATAAGTAAGGTACAGTGAAGGGGTGCAGTCAATGGGTACTGAGAGAGAAAACTAATTTCAGAGCACAGATGGATGCTTCTGTGACTGGCAGAAGCAGTAGGCATGCCCTTAGGGACTGAGAAGAGAAGTACAGAGATGTGGAAGGTGGAAGGAGCTGATTAGCAAACAGGCCAGGATGCTCTAAATAGCAGTCTTTTAAGATGTTGAGAAGAAAGAGGAGATATCATTGGTTGCAAACATCTGGGCAAGATTAAAAAAGGATAAAATCAAGAGGAGGAAATTGGATTTAATGAGAGAAGCCATGGACTTTCATTATTTATTAATATCTCATTTGATGAAGCAAAAACAGAATCATTTTAAGGAACAGTGATATAAGATTTTTCACTATTTAAAAGCTAGGGTAAGGCAAGAGAATAGATTTTATTATTCTAAGATTAAAAAAATGGCTTTAGTCTAATGTTTAAACTAAACATGTATAAGTAATTCTATAGTTATTTTAAAAAGTAATATAAAGCGGTGTAATTTTGTAGGACACTTGTAAGTACTTTCTATTTATTTCATAGAAGGAAGCACTAACCAATGGGTGATTACAGAAGCTAGAATGAATGAATCCCAGAACATGTGGAGAGAGACAATGATAAGTATAAAATGAGTGATAACGGAGCCATCTTAGAAGTTATTAGGAGTCAGAAATGTCTCAGCAGCTGGCCAAATCTGATGAGTTTTGAATCCCTGAACCTAAGTAAAAATGGAAAGAACCAACCCCATAAAGTTGTCCTCTGACCCTCAGACACACATTGAGAAGCACTTTTTTACATTTTGAAAACTTGTATCTGTTTATCCATATATACACATTTATGCATATATGTGTGTATGTATTATGCATGCATGTATGCATGTTTATGCAATGGGGCATGAGTGTGGAGGTCAAAAAACAACATATGGAAGTTGGTTCTCTCCTTCTACCATGTAGATCACAAGGAAGAACTAAAGTGGCCAAGCTTGCCAGCTGTGGTGCTTTGAAAGAAAATGGCCTACAAATGGAGTGGCACTATTGGGAGGTATGGCTTTGTTGGAGGAAGTGTGTTACTATGAAGAGCAGCTTTGAGGTCTCATATGTACTCAAGCCATGCCCAGTGAGTCAGTTTACTTCCTGTTGCTTGCAAAATATAGAACTCTCAGCTCCTTCTCCAGCACATGTCTGCCTGCATGCCCCCATGTGCCACCATGATGATAATGAACTAAACCTCTGAAACTGAAAGCCACTCAATTAAATGTTTTCTTTCATCAGAGTTGTGGTGGTCTTGGTGTCTCTTCACAGCAATGGAAATCCTAAGACAGAAGTTGGTACCAGGGACTCAGGTATTGCTATGATAGGCCTGACCATGTTTTTGGTTCAAGGAATTTGGACTTTGGAACTCTGGGTTAAGAAAGCAGTGGAATGCTTTAAGCACTGCTTCATGAGCCTTTGTAGTAGCAGCATGGAAGACAATGGTGCTGAGAATGATTTGAACTGTTGGGGGATGGCTCAAGAGATTTTAGAGGAAAATAATTTTCGAATACCTGGAGATCATTCTTATGATATTTTGGTGAAGAAATTGACTGCATTTTGCCCATGCCCAAAGAGTCTGCCTGAGGCTAAAGTGAAGAGCTTTAGATTAATTCCATTGGCAGAGAAAATCTAAAAAGAGCCTAGTATAGACTCTGTCCTGTGGTCATTAGTGGTAACTCTCATGAAGATTTATAATGAAAAGGAGCAAGCTGAACAAGAAAAAGGACAAGATGTCGAACAATTTGAGGAGAAAAGGAGCACCAAGAGTGGAGTTAAGTGGAATGGAGTTAAATCCTGTGTTCAAAGAGATAAATAGATTAAGAAATGGAATGAAGGGAGTGGTGACCTTAGGGCAAGATCTCACCCAGCTAAATTTCCAATTTGTGAAAGGAATTAAAGAAAAGTTTAGAGCCAGGTGTAGTGGTAC